GAAAACCATAGTGATCTAACTTGTGTAAAAGAATTTTATGATCGACTGTATCAAAAGCCTTTTTCAGGTCAATGAATACACCACATGAGAACAAGCGCTATTCGGTATTTTCCTGTATGGTACTCACAATGTCAAGAATTGCATGGTGTGTTGAATGCGCTTTGCGGAAGCCATATTGAGATGAAGAAAGTATATCATTTTGCTCAATCAAAGATTCCATTCTGGAGTAGACCAGTTTTTCGAAGATCCTATTAAAGTTAGACAGCAAAGAAATAGGCCTATAGTTGTTTGCATGAACACTTGAACACTTGAACACTGAACACTTTAACGTACTGACGACTGGCTCACTACTAGATAGCTACTCAAATGCCAGCGAAATACGTCATTGTCCCAAAAGGAGCGACAAGGAGATGTCTTACAAGTGAAAAACTGCTGGTCAAACAGTGATTCAATAATAGTACAACTGATTCCATGTAACGTGGAAATTGTTATTGTTATTTCTATTGATAACAGCGGAATAGTCGCACCTGCGGGTCACTGGGCTGATGTTGGCCCAAAAACTGAAAGAGCTTCCTTCTTGCCTCCCCTTCCGGAAAGACATCTCTCCGCAGGCCACGGACGGGACATGTGTCCAGCTGGAGATCTCTACTCCTTGTCTGTGCGGTGGTTGGGGCGGTGGCTTCTTGTTCTTCCGAAGTGGTAGAGTCTGGAATGAACGGAGAGAAGGCAGGCAAGTTACTTTTCCCTAGAACATTTTAAGATCAGTAGGACCTTTTTCGTTTTATAATGAATTTCATTAATAACTAGTACCATGACCCTCCATGCATAAATGAGCTCTCGATCAATAACGATTTCTTTAAACAGGAGCAGGCGAATATTAACGTTAAAAGCCGACGTTTGGGCGTCACCGTGACACCATTCTGAAGGCAAAGTGAATAAATAATGCGGAGATTTGATTTCTATTCAGTCTCCACAAGTTAGCATCATAACAAAGGATCGAATCGAGTCCGTTGGAACGTTTAGGAATGGTTCAAGTTTTCCTTTTAAGACTGACTGACTGACTGAGTGCACAGAAATCAAATCTTGGCATTATTTATTCACTTTGCCTCGAGAGTGATAAATGAAGTATTTGTTTGTTTGTTTGAAAGCAGCTGAGCCACTCACCCTCATCAGAGGCTACTGTCTCTGGCGTTTTGGGCGTGGCCTTCTTGTTCTTGACGGGGCGACTTCCGGCCGAGGAGGAACCCTTGCGTTTACGCTTGCGCGTGGCCTGACTAGAGACCTCTGTGCTGTTGGTGGCCGGCGATTCCTGTGTTCCCGACGCGGCTTCCGCCTCCGTGTCCGCCTCCGCCACCGAGTTAGACAATATCCGATTCAGGGCTCTCTCACGCTGCTCCGTGACCGCGGTGACCTCTGTCTGCTCCACCGGCATCGCTCGGTGTCCGATGCTTCTGAGCAGGTCCGCCGACAGAGTCACCGCGCTGGCTGCGAAATCTTCCTCCTCCCCCTCTCCTTGCCCTTCAGATTGACAAGCCCAGGGCTCCTTCAAGCAGCGAGACAGCGCATCCAGCGTATCGCTTTGTACCGCTTGGAACGTCAGGAAATTCACGCCGAAATCCAGCGTCCCACGGACCAGGTAGTCCGGCAGATAGCTATCGGAGCTGTGGTAACGGACTGCGGCATACCTGGGGAACAAGAAACCAACAAGAAACGCGTGAACATCACAGGAGATAAGATTAATTGTGGAACGCTATACCGCACGAGTCTGGAAAGATACGAACGTACACTACTTTTAAAAACAAGCTAGAAACGTTAGATGTAGTTAAATAGATTTACTGCTTTTAATGATCATGTTTTCTTACGCATTTTACTTGTGACTCCATTGTCAATTCTTAAATTTTAACATTAGCTAGTTCTTTATCTTAGTTTACTTTAATTTATATACCTTGAGAAGGCTCTTATAATTTCTTTTTTCTGTTGTTTTTTCTCCTGGCGTACCTTAAAGTAGCTCTTTAGCTAAGTGTACCGAACCACGTTAAAGATATTGATTGATTGAACGTCAGGTCACATTGAGCTCACCGGAGATTCAATAGTCGCGCTAGGCTCAGACCGGAGCCAGCGATACACTGTCGGCTTAGCAGCGAGGCCACGTCCATGATTGACATGCGACGGATGGACAAATTGGTAGCTTTGGCGGTCACGACAATGTTGCCTGGCAAAAAACCGCCGTGCTCAGCCTCAATCAGACGTCTCGGAAAGCCATGCGTGAATTGCACGCTGGCCGGCGACCATTCGGGGGCGTTCCATAGCATCACGTTGTCAAACCTGCCGAGAAGGGGGCCAGAAAGGGGGATAACATGAGGTTAGTTTTGCACGAACAAGCAAAAACTGACGACAACAAAAGAAAAAAGCGACGCTTTTTTTTTCAAATGAGGGTACTTTAAACACGTATCTTGGGTTTGCAAAAAGGTCAATAATCAGTTAAATGTCATGATAAGATTTAGAAAACTGTTAAGCTGTATAAGGCCTTTTATCCTACCGCACTTTCATTCATGTTCAGTTTAGTATGAAATGAGTTCTGTCTTTGTACCTCACCAGCAGACGAGATTACACCAATTGATTACTTCGACCAATGAATGCTACAAGTTTTTGCGTGCGAGTTAATAATAATAGTTAATAAAGGTGCAAAAATCAAGGAGCCAAAGAGTGTGAGGTTAAAATCTCTGAAAATAGGCCGGAACGGAGCGTCGATTTTTGCTTGTTTGTCATCGTTTATTTAGTTAGCGTGTCTTACCTGTCAAGGCGCACTTTGTCCAAGGATAAATCGAGGCCGGGTATGCCACTGGCTAGCACTTTTTCCAAGCTCCTGCCTTCCCGTTTGAACAGCTGCTCTTTCTGTAGTTCCGGGTGGGACAGTCGAAGTCGCTTGCTCGGACGTCGGTTATCTTTGCCAACCAGCCAGCCCTGCTTTAAACGATCTTGGCAGTAGGCGACGGCTTCCTCGCGGCTTTTAAAGTTCACTTCCCGGCTGGCTGCTTCTCCAGAGGGGATCATGGCCATTTCTGTCCTAGCCACCAGTTCGCAGGGCAAACGTAGGCAGTCCAATAGTCGCAGGTCGAAGTTGAAAGCCAGGGGGCATTCCTTGGAGACAGCCAACGCCGTGGGGAAGTAGGGAGCGACGAAATCTGTCCCCGAACCCTGATGCATGCCGTCGACGCGGCGATGAAATCCTGGACTGTCTTCCACCTGACTGTCCTCCTCTTCGACATGGTCCGAGTCATTTTCCTCCGAATCTTCTTCCGTCTCTTCCGGCGATACGCTGTGGAGTAGAATGGACAGGTGGTTGTATTTTGAGTTAGTTATTGACAAGTTAGGCTAGGTAGGTTCTTAAATTTCTACCAGGGAGAATCAAATCAAATCAATCAATAAAGCAGTTGCCAGTATAAAGTTCACTTTTGTTGCTACTTGAGCTGTCAAGTCAATCAATGGTCTCGCTCCTTCACGCATCTCTGATTGTTTTTAAAGTTACGCACCACTCGCTACAATCTAATTAACGATTAGATTATGAGCTCGAGATTTCTATGAGGTGATAGTTGATGAGGCCGAAGAGAGAGAGAGCAATCTAATTGTTTTAGTAGAATTCTGACTGAGATTAACGCAAACAACGGTTCTCGATTATTTTTCAAGGCATTGTTGAACTTCAAGCTTTAACAAAATCGCACGTATTGAATTGTTCTTGGCAAATTTGCAGTTGCTTACGCAAGTTTTTATAGTCAAGAAACCGCTAATGTCCTTCGTTTTTTTTTTTTGTTTTTTGGTCAAAACATCTTGTAAACATAATGTAAATACTCGCTTTGCATTTACACCTACTTTCTATCTTCCAAAAACTCGAACAAATTATGCCAAATTTAATATTCGATTTCATGGACCTAAATTATGGAATGAACTCGATGAAAGATTCAAGTGTTGTACTTCTAATCAATTTAAAAAAAGAACTAACTTGGCATCTCGTTAGTCTCTATTAATCTTTACTGATTTTTTGATGGTTTATATCTATTTATTTTGTTTTGCTTTCTATATTTACTCTTGTACCAAGTTTATGACATTCATGTGTACCAATGTATTTGTTGTGCCTCTTTCCTGACTCTCACATTTTTAATTAGTATAATTACGGTCACCCAACTAGTTTAGCTTTTTAGTTATTTTGGGTGTGTCGCTACTGTATGAAGTGCGGTGTTCAGTTATCTGTAATTATAACCTTGTAAATTCTTTTAGTTGTTTACAGTAGTAGAAATAAACTGTTGTTGTTGTTGTTTGGTCTTGTCAGAAATTTAATTATCCGTTGACATCTAAACTTTCTAGCAAAACTTCAGACAAATTACTAAACCCTGGCATTTCGTGGCGGATAGTACACGAGTAGCTTAGCCAATCAGATTGCGGCATTTGCATTAGTATACTAGTAGAATTCTACTAAGATCTAATAGTAATGTACAGCAGTTTTCGTATAATAGTCGTTACCTAGACAGGTCATTTTCTGAGATTGTTTTACAGCATTGGAAGAATTTGCCGGACTAAGTTGAAGGATGTGAGTTTCTACTAGCATTTTAATACCTCATTTTTGCAATTAGTTCCTAGATCTTCGCAGAAATTGCCACTGTTATCACTATTGCATTAGGCTAACATGATGTATGATTTTCACGTCTTAGTCGATCAGGTGAGATCAGTCAGAATAAGGTAAATGGTAAAATTCGGACATGCTTAGGTACTTGTGTCATTTTTCATACCACCCCGTTAACTGCAGTGACATGTTTTAAACGGTATTGAAAACGTTGCCGTGCTGTGAGTTGATTTTTAGTCGGTAATTTCTGCATCTATTGCTCGGACTTAGCGCAATCCGTCTTAAACTCCAGAGGTCTTTCGTTTGTTTGGCGTCGTCATGTTTTCCTGATTTTCAACCGAAGAAAATTCGGTAGACGCTTTGACAATAGAGATGCAAAACCACTGGTTGTCTTGTTTTTGTCTGTTCTTTTCTGCTTACTGACTAACCTGCCTTTTTCCCGCTCGGCTTCGGTCAAAACGAAATCCTGTCGACGCATTCTTCGGGGCGTGGCACCCTTTCGCCTGTGCGGCGATGTTTCTCGGGAGCTGCCTAACCCAGCGGTCTTGCTGCAACGAAAATTTGGAGAAATCAAACAGTGAAACATTCGAAAAGGGAAGCTTAAAAAAAAAAGAAGATATACATGGAACGAATAAAAAAAAAAAAAAAAGAGAGATGTATATTGAACAAATAAAGAAGCCTAAGCCGTGTATTACACTGCGACAAAACGCGACGGGCATTTGGGAACACGAGGGAAAGGTTTTTTTCTACCTTTCTCGACTTAGTCTTCTTCATTTGCCTTATGACATACACTCTCAGCCAAGCTCTTGGAAGCTTTCGTTTTATCCCAGACATATCACTAACCTACGGGAGTCCTGGCTTGCGTGGACTGGCTCACTCTGCGAACTGTTGAAAAAATAGCCAGTTGATTAATTACAAACGCTCACATAACAAAATAATCGAGAAGAAAATTGTCATTTGTTATAATTACACGCGCAGATATAGCAAAACGATAAAAAGGAGAGAAAAGTGTCCTTGACTACTAGCAACTCACCTTGTCTGGCCAGAATTTACTCCACTCGCCTCTCCTCTTGCGCTGNATGAAATAACTCATGGAATAAACGGAACGGGAAAAATAACGAAAAAAACGGAGCAAACAGAATTGCCATCTGTTATCGCCTGCGTGAATCCCGCTAATTGAGTTACGTGTATTTGATTTTGACTGCTTGCCGTTCGCGTGACCCGCGGGACGGTTGAACTTTGCAACCGGGCCTTTCTCGGACTAGACCAGGGGGGATTGGGCAATTTATCGGTTCGATATTTTGCACAGGCCTTCTCGTTCAAAAGCAAGTCAACAACTCACCCAGCGCCAGTCGAGCTTTGAGTGCGTAAATATGCCGTGAGATCTCGTTTCGCTGGCATGCTCTTCCGGGTCTTCTGTTCTCTTCTGCTCAGATGTGCTATGGAAACTAATTCTGGACTGCAACCGGCTGCTATTTATATAGATAGGGGCCTTATCGAGTCACGTCCGTTTTGACACTACGTGCTGTTTCGATTTGACTTCATGGCAAGTGAACGTGACAAGGTATTCTCGGCTATATGGAAAGACAAGTTTGTTGGGAGCCTAGTTTGGAATTTCTAAAGTGTCTTGGAGTTTTGGTGAACGAAGTTTCACCATTTTACGGGCTAAATGTGGTTGTGGCGTGAGCCACCGAGTGTGACGTCATCAGAGGAACTGGTAAGTTAAGCACGTTTTCGACCTTGTTCATATTGCGAAAGAATGTCTTACAGTAAACACNTTAGTACTACCGCCTATATTGCTCCGACCGAGACGCTTTCATCGGCTGGAGAAAACAGTCGATAGTCATCACAACATGTGAAACAGCAACGTCCAAGTACTAGCTTTACATTCCTAATCGCTTTGAGATGGGAGTTTAGTGTCAGCCCGGCTGCTAGCGCTTTCCTGTCATTTTGAGGCGGGAGAATTGGCAAGAGCCAGTTGTGACTACTCTGAGATGTGGACCAACGTACCTAAGCCAATGATTAAAACAAACCGTCTTTCTTATTTGTTGGCCTCTTACTGCAAGAAAAGAATTACCACATTTCATAGTTAGGCACACTGCTAGTAGGGTTAAGGTCTTCTACTTTTGACCACAGGCTAAAAATCCGTTGTATAATGGCTCACCTTGTGTGACTTAATTTTTGTGTTTTTATTACAGTAAACACCCGCGTATAAGAACCTAGTGATTTAAGAACCTACAGGCTGAAATTGGGCATTTTAATACCCAAATATATAAGAACCTATTTAGGCTGGCAAAGAACAGTAGGTTCTTATACAAAAAAACACTCTTATTTTGTAGCCAAAATACTGGATTTTAATTGATAGAAATTGTGAAATTTCTGAGAAACACCATGAAAATTAT